AATCTATGTACGAGATGGTCCATTCATCAGAACAATGCTTTTATATAAATTGTAATATTTAAAACCTAACGAAAAAAAAACTAACGAAAGAAAAACAAAATGATATTACTAGTAATAAAATTAAATTATTATCTCTCGTTTTTATTAGTGCATTGACTGCAGAGCCATTCCACAGCTCAATGGCTTCGTTTCCTTTAAGAGTAATAAAATAAATAAACTTGTAGATGGGTCACATTTATGAAAAGGTCACCCTTTTTATCCACATATACTTCACATTACATATAGTATATATTTTTTGATAATTTGAATGTTATATTATGCATTGAGATCTTTTTCTTTTATATTGATACCGATTCATTCCATATCGAATCATGACACTTAATTTGGAAGAATGTCAACTTTGATCTATGGGGACAAACCAATACCCTTGATTGAATTTGGACCGTCCAATTTTTCATATCAATCAACTTACCTATTTTCATGCTGATCAAATTTGATATTTTTAACATCATTAACAAAAAGTAATGTTATGGTATTGCTTTGTGCCATTCATTATATTATACGTGTTCAGTGACAGTGTTATTTTCATGCACTAAGCGTAGACAGGAGGCTTGATGGTGTCAGCTGGAATAAATGAATGGAAATGGACACATCATACTTCTATTTTTAGAATATGGTCCGAGACATTTTCATAAAATTGACTGATCAATTAGTTTCTAGTTTTAGTAAACGCCAAGCTCACACGGAGTGTGAATATTACTCCAAAAAGGAATCGTATCAGTCAAATTATGATTTCACAGTTTTAGCAATTTCTTTACATCAAGTAATTATAAATATTCCTCCTACCTTTTTCCTACTTTCTACAAATTTGTTTTCCAACGTAAAAATTAATTTAAGAGGCATCTACCAGATTTGAATATATTCCAAGGAGTAAAATGAATAAAAGAGAACTGTTTAAAAGTACTCACATTTGACTTTGACAAAAAATTACTCATGTTTGACTCGGCTCATACTTTTAAATTTTACACTATAAAAGACTATTATTAATTATTATGTGATATATGCAAAAAGAAAAAAAATCTGATTGGCTATGAATTGTCAAGTGTACTGGATAGCACCTGGAAATAGCTGTATTAGTGTCATTGTGATTTGATTAGTCATAGCTAGGAAATTAATGGATTTTTGTTTAACAGTTTTTCTTCTTCTGTTTTTTTTTTTTGGCTTATTCTTCTTGGTATCGGGAAGACGTTATAAATTCAATTCTCAGACAAAGATAAACAATCATGGTTTAAGGCTTTAAGCATATGGGAACAATGAAATATATATCCTTTGTGGACTATAGTATAGAATCTGATCATAGAACATCATTTCTTGTGGACTATCAATTATCCGAGTAACTTCGGTCATCAATACATTTTATCATGATATGCGTAGAACGAGAAAGTTAATGCTCAACATTTTTTTTTGTTTTTAGCCTTATATCATTCTCAGATTTTTCACGGTGTTTGTTGACAAATTTTTATCTCCCTTAATGGTATAAAACTTTCTTCCACATATGTATTCGGAATCAATTCCCACAAATTATTTTGAGCTCGTTTACAAAAATCTTAAGATAATGAAGCATATATACTGTTATTAGGGTCATTTATATTCTATAGAGAATCATGCAGTTACTATCTCTATCCCCATAGGAACTATGAAAGTGAACGTTGAACCAAATTATGGTGGAAATGTGACGAGAGCTTCCTTCTTGTCCGTGTGGAAGCTTTTATATTATGTCCAACAAACTTTCATGTTCTTATACAATGTATTTTCCCATAATGTATATATGTAAAATGGACCTACCCATGACTCGAACTAAACAGATTCATTGATACATGCAAATGATAATAGTTCACTGGCGTTCAATCTAATTACTAAAAATTAGTAGTACGGAGGTCACCACATCTAATTACATATCACATCATCATGTTCTAATATAATTGTAATATTATAACTCGATGCGTTGTGAGGACGTACGTAGTTCTCTCAAAACATATCAAAACTATAACGTTCTTTTTGATAATGTTAAGAGCCTATCAATGGAGGTAAGAAAATGGAACAAGCTAGCTAAGAGAAAATGGTTAAGAGGTCAGTTTCAGAACCACCAAGAAGATATATGTCAAATTAAGAAAATAAGGGAAGCTTCCGACAGAATCTCGAGTCCGTTGAGCTTTGACATCTTTAAACAGCATATAACCAAATTTCACTTCAAAAGACTTAAATATATTGCAATTTTATAGTGTTTCGTTATCTTCAAGTCTGCTTCTCTAAACCACAACGTGCGTTTATGAAATCTTTTAAGTTGCTCTGTTTAAAAAAACGGAACAACTAAGAACACAAGTACGGTCGAGAAATTCAACTCGAATGCAAACAATCCGTGGCAAGAATTTCTCTACTTAAAACATTTGATGATGACACTAATGAGGAGAGAATGGAGGCAAATTGGGGCCTTCTCTCATTTCTTTTGCCTTTTCCTTGTTCACTTTTTCTTGTTCACACTCACACACAGCTATATATATACTGATATATATGAATGATTTTTGTTATATGATTCTGATTCATTATATTAGTATACATGGAAACGAAAAAAAATAGACTGGAAGACATTAGCCTAATTAAACCTTTTGTTTTGAATTGAAGTTCTTTGATCCAATAGTGTGCAATATGTTTGACGTTTTTGTACCATATTTGAGGTTCGCTTTCTATAAAATACAATTTATTAGTGAAAGCGAACTTACGAAAATCTCTAACATAACTGTGTAGAGTCACATAGATAATATTGTTGATGATCACAAATTTTCTAGAGAGAAAAAAACTACATATATATAGATATACCCACACAAATCAAATCAACAACACAATTTTGAAATTTCAAATGGGAAAATTCGAAAATTTTACTTTTTGTATGTGTTAGGAATAATTTATGGAGAGGATATGCTCTGAAATAATGTGTTTTATTTTGTAGGAATAAAAAATATTTGTTCTCGAAGCAAAAAGCCAAAATGTGTAGAAAGTTAGTGTCCTTTGATGGCTCATCAAAAATAGAAAGAAAAGTGTGAAAGCTCTTTATTAGTTGCATGTGGCATCGAAGGCAAAATCAAAAGAATCTTATGTTTGGGCCTAGTGCTTCGGTCACAAGCATTAAATTCATCCCTAATAATAATTTGAACTTTTTTATTAAATAAATTATTTATATCCTGAACAATATTAATGTCAATTTGGTTATTGTTAGGTTATTGGTATAAGCATAAGAAGTATGTTCTATGAAACATAAATAGTGTGATATGGAGTATATATGTTCTACTTCTATATTTCATTTGTCGGTAGATTTATCCATAAAGTAATACGGAGAAGTAAATATTATTTGTTCATAAATTGGCTAATAAATTAAATACGAAGAAAGTATTTGTTTAGTAAATTAGACAACACATATGAAATAGATACGATTATCATGATATCATACCATTGTTGGCATGTTTTTTCAGTTGCCAATCACACATAAATATTATTTTATCAGGAGGACCAACGAAAAAATCGATAAACATTCAAGTTCTCAGACAAATTCGACCGACGAATCCATCATATTTTTGTATGGTTAAACATGTGTGATAGCAGGTTTACCCTTCAAAACATTTCTAACGTGCAAATCATAGTCATAATCTCTTGATAACCAACCAAACCATTAATTACTTCTATACGACAAAGCGCATCTATCTCAATTAAGTATAACACGGTCAAATTGCTCTAACACGGTCGCATCATATATATATCACTTCTGCTGAAATCACAATGTTACCGACGATTCTCTAACCATACGACTAAAAAGAATAGATAATGTATTATCACTCTTGATTTCGACACCGACAAAAGGAGGTAAACGAATCGACTAAACTTATAAGCCAACAAATTTAGGGTTAAGTTAGTAATCAAACCCAATCATCATTAATATATTCTATCGATGAACCCACACCTATCAAATAAATTAAAAACGCATGTAATGACAATATAACATCACTCAAACTGTTCAACGTACGTTAAGCAAATTCTCCGGACTTACACATTAGGATTTAATTAGTGTAAAGTTAAAAAGAAACATATTCAAGTTGTCCCTTCGGGGACATCCAACTAAAAGCAAAAAAAATAATTCAACTTATAAACTATTTACATGTAGTGATATATACCATCAGCTTTAACTCCTAAAGTTTACAAAAAAAAAAGGTTTTAACGCTTAAAAGTCAGATTAAGAATCTAATATAAAGTTGAATTCGAGCCCTTTATGTCAAAAGTAAAACTTTGCTTCCTTTGTTGGCAATCCTAATATATTATTATTTTATGCGGTGGTGATCCGTTTATATAAATTCTTTCGACTGAAATTAATGTTCAAATAACTTTCATTGATACTTCAATTAAATTTAACCAAGACAAGTAGAAAACTCAAATTTATAACTGAGGAGTAGAACTCACAGTGTCTGCATGGGCAACACGTGTCTGTGTAGAAGAAGACAATGGCCATGATTCTGTAATAAGCCACACAGGCTCTCACTGAGAAGAAACTCCAGCTTTTAGCATTTTAACCTTTTATAACACAAAGCCCTAAAAAAATACACTGGGCCACTCTCTTCTTCAGTGTGCTAAAAAAACCCACCTATAATTAATTAGTATATTTCTTATTTTTGTTAGATCATTTTTCTTGCAACTTGTTACACTTATTATCAGTTCCCCGACAAATTTTTGTTCATTTTACGTTCCAAATTATTGTAGTTTAATTACACTGTACATTTGTTGTTTCGGAAAGAAATCACAATTGAAGAAACTGGGTCCACATCATTAGGTAGTATATTATTATCTATTACTTTTGTAATAAACTAATGGAAAGTTTCTGCAGCCGTTTCTCATTTTAATTGTGTGTATTAATCTCACCAATTCTCGATACAATATAAGTTATAACACTTCAACATCGTACAAACATTCCAAGAGAGAGACGGAGAGAGAGATAACTAGAGAGAGAGAGAGAGGATGGGTCATCACTCGTGCTGCAACAAGCAAAAGGTGAAGAGAGGGCTTTGGTCACCCGAAGAAGATGAAAAGCTCATCAACTACATCAATTCATATGGCCATGGATGTTGGAGCTCTGTTCCCAAACATGCAGGCATTTATACACATATATCTATGCGTTTTGTTTCTTGAATTATCTACTAATAATAAGTCTTTGTCTTAAGGTTTTAATCTCTTTGGGGTTTTTCCTTGTGTGTTATAATTAGGTTTGCAAAGATGTGGAAAGAGTTGTAGATTAAGATGGATAAATTATCTAAGACCTGATCTTAAACGTGGAAGCTTCTCTCCTCAAGAAGCTGCTCTTATCATTGAGCTTCACAGCATTCTTGGTAACAGGTTTGTCAGTTAATCAACATTTATACATGTGAAATAGAAAACTAACATTTCTTCAAGAAATTGGCTTACTTTTCTAATCACAGTTTTTGTTTTATGGGTTTTGACAGATGGGCTCAAATTGCTAAACATCTACCTGGAAGAACAGATAACGAGGTCAAGAATTTCTGGAATTCAAGCATAAAAAAGAAGCTAATGTCTCACCATCATCACGGCCATCACCTTCATCATCATCATCACCATCTCTCTTCCATGGCGAGTTTGCTCACCAACCTTCCTTATCACAATGGATTCCACCCTACTACTGTCGACGATGAAAGTTCAAGATTCATGTCCAATATCATCACAAACACTAACCCTAATTTCATCACTCCAAACCACCTCTCTCTTCCTTCTCCTCATGTCATGACCCCATTGATGTTCCCAACCTCTAGAGAAGGAGATTTCAAGTTTCTAACCACAAACAACACAAACCAATCTCATCATCAAGATAATAACCATTACAACAACCTCGACATTTTGTCAGCCACACCAACTATAAACAATCATCATCAACCTTCACTCTCTTCTTGTCCTCATGATAATGATCCCCAATGGCCAGCTTTACCAGATTTTCCAGCGAGTACCATTTCCGCTTTCCAAGAAACCCTTCAAGATTATGATGATGCTAATAAACTCAGCGTGTTTGTGACACCATTCAACGAAAATGCCAAAAAGTTATTATGTGGAGAAGTTCTCGAAGGCAAAGTACTATCTTCCTCCTCACCAATTTCACAAGATCACGGCCTTCTTCTTCCCACCACGTACAACTTTCAAGTAACTTCTACGAGTGATCATCATCATCATAGAGTGGACTCATACATCAATCACATGATCATACCATCATCATCCTCATCATCGCCAATCTCTTGTGGACAGTACGTCATAACTTAAGCAAACCCTAGTCCTAAACCATCTACATGGGATTCCTTGACATGGGTACGTAATAAATACCTATATAGAATCTATATACGTTTGATATCTATATATAAGAAGGAAAGAGGGAACATAAATAATCACCCACATGTGTTGATAAGTCTTTTCCATATAGTCGTATAAGGATTTGTGATATGTTTACATGAATTACTTTTCATATATATTGCATTGCTAGTTCTTCTTAATTCAGGTTAAAGTCGTGTGAGTTGTGGAAAAAGGTTACTACATATAATATAAAGTTGGTCCTTATACAAATTTTAATGAACACATACAAACACACATATGTATGTAAGGACGTATATGTGAAGGAAGTACGATCTCTATCTCTCGTCATCTACGTACACATGTGTTTGTATATGGTCAGTTTGTTTTGCCTCTGTATTGGAAATTATTGTCTTCATCTTTGTTTTTTCTTTGTCCCTTATTGCTTCTCTCTCTCTCTATGATATTTCGTGGGGTCAAAATATGTGGACTGTCATAATTCAATGCAAGTTCAATGTACAATTTTTTTAGTCAACTGTGAGATTCTCTTTTGATCATTTTTAGACGTTTAGACAAAAAAAAAACACAATTTGTATCCTTAAAGTCTTGCTTCGTTATTTAAACAATGATAATTTGTTGACATCAATGGAGAAAAAAAGATTCCTTGACATAAACTATCCATTACAAAGGAGCTGAGATCTTTAAAATTTTAACTTCAGTTCGATTCTGAGATCAACAACACATCAAAAACATAAGAAGACATCCGACTTATTTATGAGATCGAAGTTTCAGGTTTTCTAGCCTGAAGGAGAGCCTGAATCGTTTCTGATAAACGGAGATTCACCAATAGAAAGATTAGAGAGATTCTAGGCAGTGACTCTGTGACGCCCTTTTGCTATTCTCCGAGCTATCACTCTGCGTCCACCTTTGGTTGCCTTCCTGTTCATATTCAGACATTCACTGAGTAAACAGTTTTGGTCACTCAAACACCATGTACAGATGTAGATTCTTGTTCTTACTTTCAATTCTCTAATTGTGAATGAGAATGAGCAATGATTTGAGGTAGTTTAAGAATTTCGATCGTTTGGTTGATTAACTAGATTTTGAGACTAATAAGGAAGTTTAACAAGAAACGACATACCGAGCAAAGAATCCATGGTTCCTTTTACGCCTTATAGTGCTTGGTTGGAATGTCCTCTTAGGAAACAGAAGCAATGGCTCACTTGAAGGATCAACTACATTACCAAATACAAAGACATTAGACAGGCATCATAGAGCAGCAAAATGTACAACTTTGCAGAAACTAAAGCCCAATGAACAATAGAAGGCTAGACTCTGCTTTAGGACACATACATAACACTTTTGAACTATATGAAACTCAAAGCACAACAAAGCCAGATTCTTGACCGTCCTACAAGTTCAGACATAAGTATCTTTGCTTCCCAATATGCTACAAGCACTTTATAATTCGCTATGATCTCCCACTCAAGAACCAGAACCACCACCCCATAATTCAGTATTTCTTTCCACTAGCAGCAAAATGACCAGTAACAGAACTCGATAAAACGACCTAAACATTGTTTCTACTGTGTAAGCACATGAGCATTTCTGATTTCATCAACCATTGACACACAGTCCACCAAAAAAACAGAACACTTCTTAACATTTGGTTAATATTTGACCATCTAGTGACAGCATACCCTATAAATCATATTCATAGGCCAAAAAAATCAAGCTCGACGAGAGTGAACAAAATACAAATCTAGCTAGTGACAGATATTATCAAAATGGAGTCAAAGAGTGAAAGTACCTTCTGGTAAGAAGAATTCGAGTGAAGGAAGACCAGAAGGGTAAAGAAACCCACGTTCGTTGAGTTCCTGGAGCGAAGCAGTGTCGTTAGGGCGCGAAATGAGTGAGCTCTGTAGATTCGACAACGACGGGAAAAAATACGGCGGGATTTCTTGTCCTTGAGGAGCTATCTGTTGAAATGACGATCTGAGATTGTTCTGCACGAGATTTGTTGTTGGCTTCGATAGAAACCGATTCATCAATGAAGCTCCTGACCTGATTAGGGTTTTGGCCGCCATTCTTCCTCCCTTCTCCGAGATTGCGATAGCTTCTCACAGTTCTTTCTCTCTTCGAAAATGTACGAGAAAGACGAGTAAACATGGGCTTTTGGGCCACAGGCCCAATTTTAATAAACAGAGAGTTGCATTTTCGTAATTTATCAAGATCTTAGCAAGACAGAAATTGGCTTTAAATTTTTCATGTAACAGAACAAGAATGAACAAGAGTCTTGTAGTCTTCAAAATCTACAGTGTTCATGGTCTCTAACATTGTGTAAATCATCTGGCTCGAAGGGTGAGACCAGTCAGCGACCGCGAAGGAATGAGTTTGGTTACCGAGCACGATCCAGCTCAAGGCTGGTTCTTTCTTAACCCCTCGATCTCTCATCAGCTCTCTAACCTCCTCTGCTGAAGAATTGACTCCAGATTCGTTGTAAATGTTGTGGAGCAATACGTATGAGCCAGAGGCCTCGGGTTCAAGTTCCATCAATCTCTCTGCAACGCGTCTCCCTATGATGCTGTCTTTGTAAACCCTGCAAGAACTCAGTAATGCTCTCCACATCACTGGATGGTCTTGAAAACCAGAGCTCAAAATCAGGTTCTCAGCATCTGATAATCTTCCCGTGCGGCCTAAGAGATCGACGAGGCTAGTGAAATGTTTCTCGTTCGGTTTAATCCTGTAATTGTTCTTCATGCTTTGGAAATACTTTAGTCCTTGTGTGACCAATCCTCCGTGGCAACAAGCTATAAGAACGCCGAGAAATGCTTGCTGGTTCGGTTTAATTCCGTGGGTTTTCATCGACTCAAAGATATTTAAGGCATCGTTAGCAGAACCGTGTTGTGCAAGGCTTGAGATCATAGCTGAGTATGTTGCAACGTCTGGGTTTTGGACCTCGATAAATACTTTATTAGCAAGAGGCATGTTACCTGACTTTGCGTACATAGAAATGCTTGAGGTCTTAACACTGGTGAAAGCATCAATTCCACTCTTTATGGCATAACCCTGAATCTGCTCTCCTGAGCTTAATGCAGCAAAATCAGCACAAGCACTCATCATAAGGGAAACTGTATACTCTTCCGGTCTTATATGGGATGAAAAAAGTTGTCGGAACAGATCAAATGCGTTTTCAAGCTGCTCGTTTTGGACATGGCAATCAATCATCGATGTCCATGAGGCGATATCTTGCTTTGATGTTGAAGCAAAGCATTGCATTCCATCTTCAGTTGAACCCATTAACGCATACAGCTCGATTAGAGCGCTCCCAATAAACTCATCAGACTGAAAATTGTTCTTACAGATGAGAGCGTGAATCTGCCTTCCATATTCCAAGGTTTTCGCCGCACTACAAGCTTTGAGCACAACTGAAAATGTCGATGGCGAGGGTTCCAAACCCCGTCTTTGCATATCCATGAAGAGCTTAAAGGCTTCACTCGAAGCTTCGTCGGTTATTTCATCCATTTGGAGAAACCCAGAAATCATCGCATTATACGTAACCACATTCTTGGCAGGCATCAAACTGAAAAGCTTTATCGCCTCTTTCAAACTTCCGTTTTTGGCATACATGTCAAGCAATGCAGTACGGACAACTATATCAAATTCCATTCCTAGTTTTGCTGCATAACAGTGAATTGCCATACCTTTTTCTATAAATCCTTCGTTCAGGTTTATGCAACAAGCCTTTAGCACACTCCCCAGAGCATAAGTAGTCAACTTTATGCCGTCTCTATGCATTTTAGCCAACAGATTAAGCGGTTCTTCCGCTGCACCTACCCGAACATAACCGGAAATCAAAGAATTCCATGAAACTTGATCCCTTTCATTGCACCGATCAAATAAGGCCATTGCTTGGTCAAGCTTACCACATTTACTATACATGTCGATCAACACATTGATCAAAAACACTTGCTGAGATAGACCATTGACAACAACCAACCCGTGCAACAATTCCCCTAAATCAAGATCACACCTTTCTCCACAAAATCCCAATGCACCGGCATACGTGAATTTATCAAGCTTCAAATTAGCATCCCTAGCTTCAAGAAACAATTCCATGGCCTGTTCATAAAACCCCACCTGAGTGTACCCAGAAATCAAAGAATTAAAAGAAATAATGTTTCGTTCAGGCATTCTGTCGAACAACTGGCGTGCAAAATCCAATTCCCGGCACTTGCAATACATATTCAGAAGATTGTTGAGCAAGTATAGACACGGGTTCAAGGAAGACTTGATCATGTGTCCATGGGCGAGCTTTCCCAGTATCACGGAGCCTGATTTTGCAGCTGTTTGAAAAAGTTTCTTGTAACCTTCGGAATCTAAAGCCGTGTTCTTTGGTTGGCATAACGAAGACAAAAACCTGTAACCCAATCCAACTCGTTTGGTGATAAGAATAACAAGAGACTCTTGAGCAATGTTGTTGAACGAAGTCTTCTTTGCTCGGAACTGTAACAACATGATCTCCCATCACATAACGAAACTAACGGCTTTTGTCTGCAACACAACGGTCTCTCTCTAGTAACGACGATTTGCTCTGTTCTTTTTCCAAACTGGGCCTCTATATAGCATTTAGTTAATTATTTTGGGCCTCGTGTAAACTTGTATCGTATTTTCAATGTAATAACATTTTAATTTGAGTGACGTTGAAACCGATGTTTTTTTTTGGTAAGCTCGTTGAAACCGATGTAGTATGCATATTTGACCCGAAAATTCTTCACAAAAGAGTATTCATTTTCAATTCAACATTATTTGTCTTAAGGAAATCTACATATTCTAAACATGCATTTCATGTTAATTAAACTGATATAAGTAAATTTACACATTGTTAACACCATAGATCTTTAAATAGTGGTCAACGGAAAATGAATCGGACGGTGGGAAGTCCACGTGTTGTTAAACCGGAGCCGATCACACCGTCCAAACTTTAGTAAAGGTGAAGAGGCGGCGAGGTGGATCCCAACTCAAATTTGGGCTTTTCTGTTGGGGCCCACTATCTTATTGTCCAGCCAATTGCCCTCCATGAAAAAATTGCCACGTGGGACCCATCATGACTTTACCGTCTACCAATGCAATGAGTATATCATAATTTCTCTCGTTAAAAAAATATACTGTATTACTGAATCTTATTACTGAATTTTTCCTCAAATTAGTTTATTTTTTTATTTACTTTAAACCATTGAATTAATATACTAATTCATATTTTGGTCAATCTTTCTATCAGTAAGAGTGTGAATTTTAGGTAAAAAATATTACTGTTAAAACGAGTTATTAATCAGAAATTAATCCCTAAAGTCGTATATATGTTGGGTAAAAAATGATAAATTAAAAAAGTAGAAATTCGTTGGAAAAATAAAAAATCACTTTTTGGCATATTTCTTTTGTCAAATAAGAAGAAGCTCTTATGACCTTACGAGAAGCAGTCGTCTAGGCACCGGTGCATCAATAGCGAGCTCGAGCCTAGAGATCTCTAAACCATTGTCTTCTTCATTCATCACTCTATCTGCGTTTCGTTGAGCGATAATGGGTAATTTATAACTTTTTCTTCTCTGCTCATAAATGTTCCTGATCTCGTGGATCCGTTTTTTTTCTCTTTGATCTGATCAGTTTTCGTTTTGACCAAGCGTTATTCGTTTTCGATTTCAGTTTCTTTGTAAGTTCTGTGATTTGGATTGTGATCTATCTGATGTAAAATTTTGATAGTCTCTTTTGCTCATTAGATGGTAGGTGATTGATTCTTTTTGGTAGCTGATGAGTGTTGAAAGATGATTTCGAGGTTCGATTTGCTTAATTGTTGTTGAAATTTGGGGTTTTGATGAAAAATCTGAAATTATGGCTAGGTTTCTAGTGGATTAACAGTTATCTTAGTGATGCGATAATGCGAGGAATCAATCGAGAATCCAAAATTGTTTATCAGAACTAAGAATTCTGGGTTTAGAGGAGACACTCATGCGAGTAGTGGGAAAGATTTAAAGCCTAGATTTTGAAGATGTTATGAATAGCAAGACTAAATTTCAGATCCAATTGTTAATATGCGGGAAGATCTTGCTTTGTTCTGAGACACTTTGGGCTTATTTGGACAGAGTGCTAATTTTATGTGTTTCTTTATTGCTTGGACGTTGCAGATGCCGCTTGCTCTACCCAGCTTATCGATGGAGATGGTGTCTTTAATGTTTCTGGGGTTGATCATTTCATCAAGGAGGTTAAATTGGAAGAATGTGGTCTTTCATACGCGGTTGTCTCGATTATGGGTCCACAAAGTAGCGGTACGTATCAAATCCTTGAAAGTAAAAATTGGATTCTTTGGAATCTATTTGTTTGTATATGGGCTGATTTCATGTCATTCTGGTTGAATTTGCAGGGAAGAGTACGCTCTTGAATCATTTGTTTGGAACCAACTTTAGAGAAATGGATGCATTTAGAGGAAGGCATGTTCTACTCTTTGTATACTTCGTCAGAAAAAACTTAGCTTCTAATTCATGATTTTTACCCGCCGAAATTCCTTGTTGTCAGGTCTCAGACGACTAAGGGAATTTGGATTGCTAGATGTGCTGGTATTGAGCCTTGCACCGTTGTGATGGATTTAGAGGGTACTGATGGGAGAGAGCGTGGTGAGGTGTGTAACCTTGGCCCTTTTTGTATTCGGTTCTTTTAATATTTAGCATCTCACACCCAGTTAGTATGACTTATTTAGCTTTTGCACTAATTGTGAATGACTTTGATGAAATTTGAATTGTGCTGATTAGAGTCATAACTTGATTTCATGCACTGTAGAAATCTTAAGGAGCTCACACATAAAAAATTTCTGTCTAAAAAAGAATGTGTCAGTGCAGAATAGCTCACTTACATAGTTTTCTTGTATATGGATGTCAGGATGATACTGCTTTCGAGAAACAGAGTGCTCTTTTTGCACTTGCTGTCTCAGACATAGTTCTTATAAACATGTAAGTGGTGTTCTGTACTTTATTTTCTTTGGTATTAGTAGATAATTAGACATCTTTTGCCGTCTTTATCTTATATCATACTGTTTCTCGGATTTGTAATGCAGGTGGTGTCATGATATTGGTCGGGAACAAGCAGCAAATAAACCTCTTTTAAAGACTGTGTTCCAGGTATGTGCCTGTATCTTCTTATCAGGATGAGTTATCTCTGTTCCACAGTGTCAATACTATTTGCTTTTCTACATGGAATCAGGTTATGATGCGGTTGTTTAGTCCACGGAAGACAACTTTGATGTTTGTTATAAGAGATAAAACACGGGTATGCATTTTGATTTTTCTGTTCTTTATCGTTCTGGTTTTCTGGATTATAAGTTGTGGTTGTTTCTAATTCCTGGGTAATTGCAGACGCCACTGGAAAATTTAGAACCAGTGCTGAGGGAAGACATTCAAAAGGTAGAAGACAGTCTTAGCTTTTATGTACTTTGACTAATAGTGCAATCTCTTATTGTTTGTCCTTAAATGCAGATATGGGATTCAGTCCCCAAGCCTCAGGCACACAAAGAAACTCCACTTAGTGATTTCTTCAATGTACGCCTGCTTAATTTGGATAAAAACTTAGTATCATTCTTCTTTTGCTAGGATCAAGAAATGGACTTGTTTCTTGTGTGACAGGTTGAAGTAGTTGCTCTCTCGAGTTATGAAGAAAAGGAAGAGCAATTCAAAGAGCAGGTCCTTTTACATTTAGCTTTACATTTAGGAGAAAATCCGGGGTCACCTTATGTGATTTATTGCTCAACAGATGGCTTGTAGGTGATATTAATGTTTTTCCTATAACTTTTTCTGTAAATGAAAGGTCTATAATTTGAGACAACGGTTCTTCCAATCTGTTGCACCTGGCGGGCTTGCTGGTGATCGACGAGGAGTTGTCCCTGCCAATGCTTTTGCTTTTAGTGCAAAACAGATGTGGCAAGTCATTAAAGACAACAAAGACTTGGATCTTCCAGCACACAAGGTAATTTTGCTTGCTTAAGGCTCTCTCCCGTCACCTGTACACCATTGTTCCTTCTGGTCTTGTTGTTTATGTGCTCCCTATAAGCAGGTCATGGTAGCAACTGTGCGCTGCGAGGAAATTGCCAATGAAAAATTCTCTAGTTTTATTGCGAATGAGGTGAGTTTCCTTAATACTGCTTCATGTTTTAGCCTTTTCAATGGCCCTTTCATTGTTATTCATGTCTAAACTATTGTATAGAATTGGCGCGAGTTGGAAGAGGCTGTACAGTCTGGTCCTGTTTCCGGATTTGGAAGAAAGCTGAGCTCAATTCTCCAATCCAGCTTATCAGAGTAAGAATAATTTTTCTGCACAGTATTTAGCTGTGTGCTGACTTTATTGACCTATAGGTTTATATGCATATATTGATTCTAGGAGGGTAGGAGTTTTTTTCACGTGTTTCTGATGATTACAATAGGTATGACACAGAAGCGACATACTTTGAAGAAAGTGTAAGATCATCCAAGAGACAACAGCTGCAAGAAAAGTTATTGCAAGTAATGCATATACTCTTAACTTGTGACTGTTATACTTGTGTTTTTGTTGCAATCGTTGTAAAAAAAAAAGCAGATACCTATTGTTAGGCACTCATTTTCTTATTGTCTATCCAGCTTGTTCAACCAACTTTCCAAGACGTGCTTGGACATTTGAGATCTGGAGCACTTGAAAACTTCAAGAATGCTTTTGAGAAGGCCTTGAATGCTGGAGAAGGGTTTTCATCATCTGCGAAATCCTGCGCTCAGTCATGCATATCTAAGTTTGATAAAGGATGTGAAGGTATCGCGTACTGTTGATGTTACTGCTGAAAATATTGTAATATAGGATAGCATGTTGGAACCTGAAGATTATAACATGAAAGAGACATTAAAAGATATCCGATGTCAATGGGAATCATGTTTTGTTGCAGAGGCTGTTATTGAACAAGCAAATTGGGATACATCTAAAACTCGGGAAAAGCTTGAGCGTGATATTGAAGCCCATATCTCTTCTGTCCGTACTGCAAAGTTGGCTGAACTGACTACTCTGTATGAGGTAAATAGAATTCTCAAGCAGCTGAAAGCCATACATATTGGTCTGAATTATCTAGCATCAAACAGGTGTAAACTCATATTTGGACCTTCCTAATAGATAATGTTCATTGCAGTCAAAACTAAATGTAGCATTATCCGGACCGGTGGAAGCTCTTCTGGATGGGGCTAATGATGAAACATGGCCAGCAATAAGAAAGCTACTTAGACGGGAAGGAGAATTGGCTGTCTATGGTCTCTCCAACGCATTATCTGGTTTCGAAATGGACGAAGAAACACGGAGTAAAATGCTTGGTGATCTCGAGAACTATGCACGGGGTATTGTTGAAACCAAGGCAAAGGAAGAGGCTGGAAGAGCGTTGATGCGCATGAAGGATAGGTGTCACCATTTTACTAGTCTTTCATCATTTCCTTGTCCGATAACTTCCGTCTCTTACATAGCTTTCTGATTAAACAAACTTCTATCCAGATTTGCTACAATCTTCAGCCATGATTCTGATTCAATGCCACGTGTT